AAAAGCAAACCTATTGTGTTTCTCTCTAGAGGTGGCAATCTAAGCCACATGGTCTGCTTGGGATCTGGTCCCCTTTCTTTCCCTCTAAACATTTTTCTCATTTTGTGTGTGTGAAATTTATTTCCTCATTGAGATAAAGCTGGACCACTTTTACATATGCTTGGACACTAGGCCCAGCAGGTAGGCCGCATGCCTCCTGCACCGCGCCAGTCGTCGGGCCGCGAGCGAAGAGTTCCCAGCCCACGAAAGGTTCCATGCGCAGGAAAGGTTCGTGCTTTTTTATCCTCGCTGGTTTTTTGGTTCTTTGCATATCAGCCGTAGTCACCCGTGCATGCAGCCCAGCCGTCCACACATCTCACCCTTCTCCCCTGGGCCCCCGCGTCGTCCACCACTTGAGGGGTGAAGACCTAGCAGCGCCACTTTCTCCTCCCCTTCCCTCCCCTGACCCACCGCCGCCGGAGGCGTCGGCCGACGAAGCTTGTCTGTCTCCGGGGATGGAGACGGCGGGGCGTCTTTCTACCTGGCGGGAAGCGGCGGGGTTGCTTCTCCGGCTAGCGCGTGTGGAGGTGGTGGCGGCGACGCATGTTGCTCCGGCATGGTGCCATGCGGCGCACGGCCGTGCTCGAGGCCGTGGTGCACAACGCTGGTGTGAGCGCTGTTGGCCACTGGATGGGGCGGAGGTCCCCCGCGTGGTCTGCTGGATCTCGCGCCGGCGGGGCGGTTGCCGTGGTGGAGAGCATGGGGCGCCGGCACGACTGTGCTAGGGGCTGTGGCATGCTGCACTGGTGTGCGCGGGGTTGGTAGCTGACTTGGGCAGCGGCCTCCCGAGTGGCCTGCTGGTGCTAGTGGGTCTTCCCCCTATCTTTCTGCCTATCTGATGCCGAGATGGCCGGTGGTTTCGACCAGTGGTTCATTTCTACGGGTTGCGTGGTGCAGGTCTCCATGTCAGGCAGGCGGGCTGCAGATGTTTCGTCTCCTGTCGGTCCTCTTGATGTGCTCCGGCCAGATGCCGTGCTGGGGGTGTGGCTGTTATTCCTCTTCCTTATGCGGCAGCGCCGGCGAAAGGACGACGTGGTGCTGGACAGACTCCCTTCCCCTTCCTCCTCTGTGGATATTTCTTTCCTTTCTTCCTTACTGATTTCAACAGTTTTCATGGGTGCGCTTATACTAAACAAAATTAACATTGTGGGTGTGCCGCTGGCTGTTGGTATTGATAAAAGAAACTGATGCTCATATATGTGCGGGGACATAGTTTGTTGAGTAAGATCAGCTAATTCTTCCAACGCTGTCTACCTCATAAAAGAAGTGGTGAGCTTTTCCTTCCCGTGTTATATTCTTCTAGGTCTTGGTCTTGCAGATCCTTGCAATTTTTTATTTCTGTTTCATGAGGGAAGAGAGAGATTTCTTTGATTCAGTGAATTTAAGAGTAAGAAGGGGAAGAGAGGTTGAAAGGTTTTGGTATTGAATGCCTCCGTGGCCTTTCAGTAGGAGCAGTTCATGCTTTTCTGTTTGTGTAGTTACTTTGATATTTCTTCTGATTTATTTGGCTTCAGAACAAGTTTTTTTTAGGGGAACGTTTCAGAACAACTTCCTTCCTACATATCTCTCACCAACAAGCTGAGATTATATTTGCAGGCTATATGCATGAGAAATAAAAGAACATGATGTACCAAAGAACTTCACAGGCCAGAAATGTGGTGAATTTATCAAAGCACCTTTTTTATTCGTGGTGACATCTAGCCAATGATGGGTGTGCAGCTGAAGGCCCTGTTGTTTTCTCTTGCTTTTTTTGATTATATATTTTGGTTTTGTACTCCTTTGATCGACAAGTGGGATGGTACGTTTGATGGGTGTGCAGGTGAAGATCCTATTGGATTGGCTTGATTAGGAAATGTTGTTTGCCTTGCTGAATTTTGTTCAGTTAGTCAAAGAACCATGTACCTTGCCTTGCCGACAACGTTGTATAATTTGTGAAGTTTTTACCAATGTAAAGAGCGACTCAGAGAGCACGTCGTGCTCATGCTTATCGCTTCTCCCGATACCATTTTGTTTCACAACGTGATAATGTGTAGTGGACCAAGTACATCGGGTACCCACAATGAGTGTAAGTCAAAGTCTTATCTCCCGGTGCGAGCAGTGGCGCTCCAACTTTCTAGTTTGCAGAATTCCAGGCAGCCTCTGTTTGGCAACGGCATCATTGTATGTGCGGGACGTAAACAGTGCATGTGAGTAGAGAAAAGAATAGAGTAAACCATCAGCTGGCTCCGAAGGGATGTACTCTGCCCCCATTTGTGCAATTATATATAGCCATCAGCTGTTCGGTTATGTAATGTACTACCTGATGAAATTGGCCATTTGTGCAATTATATATAGCACACAACTTTCGGAAAGGCCCCACATGTTTACCGTTTATTACAGACACTTGCCTTTTATTGTGCTGCCAAGACCATTATTGTTAGTATGGTGGATTATTCGTACGCCCTAAGTGAGTACTCAGATCAGTATTCCCATCATCCCAAAATAAGTTTCTTGTCCCAAAGAGAGTACTGTTTGGGATGAGATTGTCATGTGATAACATTTTGGGATGAGATCGTCATATGTGTGGTGGAGAATGCTGGTTGTTCTCTGGCTATATGCACAGTACTACTTGTACCAAAGAAAATACTCTTTGGATTTATCCTTGGCTATTATGTACTCAATCCGTTCCAAAATAGATGACTCAACTTTATATTAAAGTTATTATAAAGTTGAGCCATATATTTTGAAACGGAGAGAGTAGTAGTTACGTGGTTTGAAACTTCTTTATCCAATATAAGAGCAAATACAATTGGATATAGCAAATTTCGCTCCCAATACATCCACGTACACCTCTAGACGCGCCTGAGGAGAGGGACCGGTCACCCCTCAAAGGCACGCGCCCACAGCTGGGTATCTAAAATCGGACACCCAAATCTATGTTATCTATGCAACATGATGGACCAAACTACATAGAGAAATGAAAGAAAGCAACAAACGGACATAGATCAATGAATTGCGTAGGAGAATATATACATCGCAGTTCACCGGACCAAAATACAAATAGTTCATCGGCGGACCGTTTAGGATCTAAACTTAAATAACTAAACGATGACGGAGGAAATTACCATTTCCCCGTCGGCCCATCCCCGTTGTTATAATGACATGAAACTTTATTTTTCATTGTGCAAAACTTTTCACAATTGGATATGCGCACTCTTTTTATTGTACTTGGCACCTTCAATATTCTAGAAAGTGAGTTAGGGGACCTGGCTACACAAGAGCGACCGAACCCTAGCCCCACCAGCACGCCCCTCCCAACCGCCACCCGAGGCACTCACTGGTGCTGCTGCGTGTCTGCCGGTGAAGCTGGTGTCGAGGCTTCGTATGCCAGGGTGGCGGCCCTAATTGGTGAGGGCGGCATCGATCTCGTCCGACAGATGGCATCTGAGCTGACACTTTTCTCCATGCAGCCCGATTCCTTAGACGATGAGCATGACAATTTGATGACAGGTGTGATAGAATAATGCCGAGCAAAACTAAGGTACGGTTGTAACTTTCTTTCTCTGTACTCATCTTCTCAGAGGAAAGTGTGTAATAGACATTTTTTTAACTTCTATTGGGAAACAAATGAGACTGCCCATGACATGATTTTGTCTTCCACTTGTTTTTGCATATAAAAACAACACGAGCACGTGTCCCTCTACCAGTTAATCATGGGCCAAAAATCCTTTGCTCTATAGGTGCTACTCTCAGAGACCATTGAACATACTCTGTGTTACTCATTCTTTGACTTTTTGAAAAAAAAAATACCCAGTGGGCCTCGGGGCACAATGTATCTGATTTGGAAAAAAGTAGAAATTGTAAAAAAAAAGTCAAAAATTCCAGAAACGTTTTGAAAATAAACTTAATCTAATTTTGTACTCGTATAAAAAGTTTTATAGAAGGACTATCCTTCATCGGCTTTAGGGCCAAAAACACAAAATAACAGTTACAAAAAGTGTGAATAGTAACATTTATATCGTGTCGATTTTGTTTTTTTCTTTCACCCAGAATAC